TGATAATGTATACGAGTGGTACAACAGGAGCTGCGAAGGGAGTGATTTTGACACATTATAATATTGTGTCATCGGTGGCTGGATTGGGTGCCGGTGTACCTATTATCTCTTCTACCGATGTATATATTGGATATCTTCCGTTGGCGCATATTCTGGAGTTTGCAGCCGAATTGACATGTCTGGTATATATTTACATTCTCATTTACATTCCCGACTTAGAAAAAATGGGAAGAATATGCTTTTTCCTTGCTGGATAATTCAGAGCAAATGTAAATCGAACTGAACTTCGTGAAAATCGAAGACGTTAGTTTTGAGATTATTTATTTCAGACGCGAGGTTGCTGCATTGGTTACTCAAGTCCGCTAACACTTAATGACTGGGGCGCTAAAATTAAGCGTGGTACACATGGAGATTGCTGGGCGTTAAAACCAACAATTATGGCTGCAGTACCGGTTAGTCCTTTTATAAGTGAAAGTAAACTTATTTCATGTTGCAAATGAAAATGAAGGGGATGTGGCCTAATATTCTTATGATTTTTGATTATATAATGAGCATTCATAGATGCAGGAGTGTTAGTAGCAGTCTGTCCAAGTCTGAAATATTCGAAAATCTAATATATTTTCTCGAAGTTGGGGAAGCATGAGGTTGATTAATTTTGATTTTAAGGCAATAATGAACAGGATATTCAAAGCTCTAAGCGATGAAGTTGCGGCAGCTCCGCAGTTAATGCAAGAACTTTTCCGATTAAATTATGAACGGAAACGAACACGTTATCAGGAAGGATATTGTAGTCCCTTTTTGGACAGGTTTTTTAAATGAATTTTTCGAGAAATACGTTTAATTTCGGTCTAAAATTTCTTGTGGTTTGAGGGGGAGATAAATAATGCATTAGCATATCAACATTTATTTTTGTATGAGTGCACTCACTAATATTACAATTTTGCCTTACTTGCAAAATTGTCATATGATATGCTTACCAAACTTCAAATTAATTGTATTTCATTTATAGAATTATTTTCAAAAAGATTCGACGTCTTTTGGGTGGCAAACTGCGAACTGTAGTGAGCGGCGGAGCAGCACTGAATCCAGAAACTCAACGTTTCATGAATATTTGTTTGTGTTGTCCAGTTGTTCAAGGATATGGGCCAACTGAAACATGTGCGGCGGTTTCTATTGCTGACGGTTAGAAATTACTTTTTTATTTTCTAATTAATGCAATGAGAATAGCTTCAGCCTTTTTAGGGTAATAATTCTTGCGCAAGTTGATAGCCTTAATTTTAACGTTAGTTTTGATTGCTTTTTTATTTTTCATTTCCGATTCTTACATTGATTGGACTGAAATATTTCCTTGTTATGGAAGATTAAGTCTCTTATCGTAATTTGTCAATGAACTCATGGAAGTTTCATTAAACCAAGACCTATTAACTCGAAAAAAGTGTAGAATTCAAATATTCTAATTTTCAGCGAATGATCTAAGTACAGGAACTGTTGGTCCACCTGTGCGGTGTTCACGAATACTTCTTCGTGAATGGAGTGAGGGTAATTTTTCACATTATCTGACTAACTTATGTTAATGTCTTACTTAACAAACAGTATTTTATAGTTAGCTTTTTTTGATTCGAAGATGTCACTTCGAAGATAACATATTAGCACATATGCCATTCGTTATTTCTCAGGGATTTATGTTATTATTCTTCCAAAATAATTTTTATCGAGTTAGCTTTTTATGCAGGAGGCTACATTCCATTCAATGATCCTCCTCAAGGTGAAATACTTGTAAGCGGTCCAAACATATCACCCGGATATTGGAAGCAACCTGAAAAAACAGCTGAGGATTTCGTGATCATTGATGATGTGCGGTATTTCGCTACCGGTGATATTGGTGAATTTCGTGAGGACGGGTCACTTCGCATAATTGGTACGTATTTTTTTGATTTCGTCTATGATATTGTCTGTTGAGTTTTGTTTGAGACCTGAGAAAAATCTTAAATAAAAAACGGCTTATGTCAATTATACCTTGTTTCAGATCGGAAGAAAGACTTAGTAAAACTTCAACATGGCGAATATGTATCGTTGGCCAAAATCGAGACTGCATTGTTGAATTGTCCATTGATAGACAATATCTGCTGTTATGGCGATTCACTGTCGTCATACTTGATTGCACTTGTTGTACCTAACAAGAAACATCTGACTGAAATGGCTGAAAAGGTTCGTATTAAATGAATGGAAATTTATATTGAAATTGTTATTGATTAATTCAAATCAGCCTCGGATATTATTCTCATATATCGTGGATAGAATCATCACATGAGAAATGAATGCGATGAAACGATTGTAAAATAAGTTGAATGATAACTCCAACCTCTTTACATGTTTCAGTTGGATATCGTCACATCCAGTTGGACTGATTTGTGTCATAATATGGAAATTGTTAAAGAATATCAGAAACGTATGGAGGAGCATGCTGTGAAAAGTTGGTTTTTATTATAATGGTTTATGACTGATGCGATTTAAAAAATATTGATATTTTTATAATATAGATATTTCCCAATGTTGAGTTGTGAGAAACGATTTTTATTCGTTCTTTCACTAATTAAATTGGGACAAATTAATGATGTGATAGGAATAGTATAGTAACAACTAACGTTACTATTCTCAGTTTATCTCGGACAAGCATTTCTCACAGATACTCTTTTTTTACGTTAATTTGATATGTTAATTTGGTAAGTTTTTTACGATGTAGCATTTGGTTCGAAATTCCTGCTCATTTTTTTATGCTAATTTGATAAGATTTTTACGATGCTTTCGTTTGTATTATTATCGGAATTTGAATGAAAAGGTAATGGATGAGTATGCAATATCAGTTATCAGATATTAAGTCAACCGAAGACCATTTCATGCTAAAATATAACTCAGTATTTTGAGAAAATATAGCTTGATTTTAGACCATTTGTTGAAAAATGAATTGCCGGGTAAGATCTATTTATGTGATGAAATATGGACGTCTGAGAATGGTCTTTTGACTGAAGCAATGAAACTGAAACGTCGTCAACTAAAAGAGAAGTACGAACAAGTTATTACACAGCTTTATCGCGATGAGTCTTATAAA